CTTCATACAAACTATACTCAAGTCCTGCACTCGGGCTTGATGTACAGTACGCATTCTACGGTTTTTGGCTCCTCTGCAATGCGACTGTCTGCTGTAAGACTAGCAACACATTGCCAATGCAACCTCAACAGAAAGAACGGCAGTTCTAAACTCAGCAGGAGCACCGCGTTCTCATCGATCTCCAGCTGCCTGGTCCGACAGGAGATCCAGGGGTTGTCTAGAATTCGATGATCCGGATTTAGTGTCGCGGCACCGACGGGTCGACCCTTCCCAAACACTAGAAAGAGCTGCCAGCAGCCACCTACTCATCATCAACGCGGTGTGGATGAAACTTTATGTCAACGACCACACGAATGTCGGCAGCCCTCGTAACGTCGTTGCCACATCCCGGTCTTGCTGGACACCAGGGGTCAAAACCCGGTCAGCCCCGAGCCCCAATAACAAAGGCAAGGCTTTCAGGCACAAAGGGCCTTAGGGCCCCCCTGCCTCTTCAGGATGCGGCGTGCGCAGAGGAACTGATTCTCATCAGGGCCTCGGATGTGCCGTCAGCCGTCCGGGACTTCTTGGTCACAGAGTCCGGGTGGGTTTGGAGCGAAATCGGATGTTTCCGGAACTCATTTCGTGCGTCTGTGACGGCATGGCAGCAGCCAAAGTCCAGATTCAGAGCTTGATCCAGGTTTCAGCTGCAGACATGCACTTGGCCATTGTAGAACCTCGAAAACTTACACGAAACCTCACAACACCGAACCCCTGTCTCTGCGAAAATCGTGTCAAACTTCCCTTCTCTCGATCAGCAACAAACATCTGGGGTTCTGAGGTTCTGGCGCCGCTTTGCCCCGGGAATTCGGGCTTGATGGCTCGTTTTGCCATCAGGCCACACCTCGTGCGTTTACAGGCGCTGTCAACCGCAAACTTACGTGGGAGTTCCGAAAACAAGGGGTACCTTATTTGGGGTCCTTAGTATAGGGATCCTGGAATCCTACTACTTGAGGTACTATATTACGGTCCCCTATTTTCGGAAACTCCCACGTCTAGTCTAACAGTCTGGCACACCACCGACACTTTAGTGTATATCGACTTTACTATACCGTTTTCCTGAATACTATAATCGGATCTCATGCACTATAATGTACTATTGCTTGACAGAGCCAGATCTGGTAAAGTTGCCGGTGAAGGCATTTTCTGGGGAAAACAACGTGGGGGCTGATAAAGATGCAATTCCACAAGCCGCATTACTGCATGAACTCAGATTTTGTCCTACATATACATATATATATATATGTACATATATGTATGTATATCTGCTAAAAGTCTGCTACATGATAACACTCCCCAGCTGGGATCTCAGCTACTGGGGATCGGACCTGGGCAGTCTGCACGAGGGTTTCCTTGGTCGCCGGGTTGTGGAGGATGAGCATCACCACCTGCGATGCAAACGGGAGTGCGAAATCTCACTCGGTCACGCTCTTCTGCATTCTTTGCTGGACCTCGGGGGCACTTCCTTTGGTAGTTGCCAGCATGAGAGCACGGATGCACCTCCGTGATCACCAAAATCTCGCCGCTTGCCACCTGGGTCTCGGTTGGGGGGCTTAACGGTACGAATGGGTGAGTGACGAATGGGTGGGGGGAACGACAGTTGCAGGAATAGGTGCCTCTGTCGCGTGCAGGCTCCCGAAGGAGGGGATGTGGGTCCGGGGCCTTGAACTCTTGCGGACTCCAAAGACCCGCTGTCCCGGCCTGTAGAAGCCGCGTCTCTCCCTTGATCAACTCGGAAGAGAACTCCTTCAGGCTCCTTAGTTCCGACTTGGCAGAACAGGGGAGGGGTTTGAGGTTCTCGAGTCGAGGGCTCTCTCTAGGTTTGGGCTTCAACAGTCACGATTGTGACTTTCGGTCTGAGTGTTAAGAAGGATTTCGGCTTGCAGGTTAGGTTTTGGAGGCTGCGACAAACCGTGATTTGAAGCAGCGATCCCCCAGCTTCCAGTCTCAAACCATTGCCAGGAGCCTGGCCCCCCAAAAGTAAATACACCCCAAACCGGCTGAGGGTTTGGGGTTTAGGGTTATGATGGTTCTGGGGTTCGGGCTTAGCTGCTCCAGCGCATCTCTGAGGCTGCTGCTTGGTGCCGTCGTGCCCGAACTTCGCGATGTCGATGCTGAGCCAGGGCAGGGGGCTCCAAAGGCTCAGGGTTCGTGCTCTTTAGGGGCCTCTTCGGCTTGGGGCCTTTGGGCCGGAGGCTTCAGGACAAGGGGCCTGATCAATTTCGAGGCTGCGGGCTCCAAAGCCCGGGTGCAGGCGCAATCCCACAGCCAAGATCACCCGATGCGACGCTCCTGAAGCCGCGCAAGCTCCAAACTTCGCAAGGAGGATGCTAGAACCGCTGGGGTTTAGGGCTAAGATGCTAGAACCGCTAGAACCGGGATCCTGAGTGCCGCGCTTGCACGAGACAAGGTACTCACGAAGAGCCTGGCACTCTCGAGCTTAGAGTTTTACAGCTCAGGGCCTCGAAGCCTCGAGTTGAAGGCTTCAGGGTGCTTCGATGCTCTTGAAGGACAGGGGGGGACGTGGTGCAGTTGTTGAAAACGCAAGGTTAGCTCGGATTGGACGAGGGTGCGGCATGTCGCCTTTTATCTGCGTCCGCCTGGTTATGGCTCCCGGTGATGCTCGCAGTCTTCAAGGCATTCAAACTTCATTACGGGATGTGCCCAAGCGTCCTGGACCTATAGGAGTGCCCTGCTTAAGGGTACAGAAGGCATCGGCCCTCCATTCTCTTTAGGACACAGCTTCAAAGCTCAAGTTCCATCTCAGGGTCGCCTCTTCGTCGAGGCCGATGGGTGCACGGACCAGCGTGGAAATCTGCGGCTTCGGGAGGCATGCTTGGTTGGGCTGAATTCGGTTGGAGGTGCAAGTGAGAACAGTAGGGAGAAAAGAAATCAAAACGATGCAAGTCGGGGCAAAGCAGACAGGGTCTACACAAGGCGTACATGCTAATCCCTAAACGCAACCCTGACCCCTGCTGTCTGATGATCCCGGCTTTCTTTAGACGGCCCAGAAGCCCGAGAGACTTTGGACCGAGGGCTCATCAAACTGCCGAGGCAACTCGGCCGCTGAGGCCCAGGCATGCGAACCCTTGACCTGGAGCTTCACCTGCATGTTGCGTAGGGGTGAACTATAGGGGGGCCTTAATAATCAGAATAGGGTTTTGGGTATAGTATATTAAGAGGAACCCCCAAGATGGTATAGGTTCCTTTTTTAAGACCCCCTACATTATGAAGTTGCATAGGCGGCCCTCAAGACGCAAGACCCGCCTTCTTGGCTTCAGCCTCTGCGTCTGTCAGCCACTGGAAGAACTTAGTGTTGCCCTGGGCGGGGGCAGGTTACGATGCACCTGGAATAAGAAACATTGGGATTGCCAACTCGTTCCTCTCCAGCCTAACTCTCCTTCATGCTCCCTGCAGGCTAAACACTGAACTCACAAATCCTTTCGCCACGGTCCGACGGTTGGACGTTGCCTGGGGGTCCGTGGCCTTCCACTGGCTTAGCGCTGGCAGCCCCACCTCACAATTTGGGCTTTGTCACTTCCATTCGTCAGCCCAGGCTCATGATCAGAGGGTAGGCTTAGTGGGTGGGTCGAGGGATAGTTTTGAGATTGGGGTGCTAAGCAAGTCGCACTGTAGGGAACAGATGAAGGAGGCGACCGGTCTACTCCTTCGGTGTGTCAGAACGAAAAGGTTCCTAGCTCAGGATTGTAGGGTTTAGGAGGGCTGAGTAGGCCTGGTCATGCGCCTGGGAAGGAATGCCCTAGTAACTGCCTGCAGCTCCTGCTTGCTTTGAAAGGCGGAGAGGAGCACAGATCAACTTGTGCTTCATTGGGGAGTTGGGGTTTAGGGCACTCCAAAAAAGTCTAGGAGAAGACCAGTGACCTGAGCATCACATGCAACCCTTCTCGAGCGCCCTTCGAAAGCAACAAGCAAGTGGAGAACGGTGGGAGCCCAGATTCGCGCCTTCTGCTGCAAGTCCTGCCAGTGAAGGTTTTCCGCGAAGGAACAAGTTTTGCATGCTTGGGATCTAACTCGCAGGTTCGAGAACTTTAGGATACCAATGCTGACCCCCTGATTTACGACGGGCTCACATGGGGTTGCAGCAGGAACCGTGGCCAAAGTTTTTGCGGCAGGCAAGGCTTGGCTTTCGGTTGGGAGGGGAGGATGCCCGATGTTTTGCGGGTGATCTGCATCTCGGCTATCCGGCTTTCCGAGTCCAAGCACGGGATGGGGCTCAAGACTTGGGACTTGAGGTTCAATACGAGCGCGTACCTCTAAAAGCCTAGCTGGCTGTTGTGGGGGATTCGATCTGAAAATCTGTCAACCTCCGGGGTAGCCCCGAGTGACAACAACACGAACAAGTCCGAACAAACATGCCGATGAGAATCATTATCACGTCTCAGAGTGTTTATAAGCCGAACCTAAAGTCTTCAAGTCATCAGAGCCCTTCAACCTGACAAACCCACTGCCTTCTCCGCCGTGGTCACCTTGCACTCCACCAGCTCTTTGCGGTAGACGGTGGTGACTCCCTCATTGGGCGGAGCTTTGGAGTTGGCTTTTGGGCTTTCTTAGGGTTTCTTCGTCCGTAATGGTGATGAGCTTTTTCCGCTTAAGTATCGACAGGCCACAGAATCTCTGCGCCCTTCCCGGAGTTCTTTCGACGATGGTGTGCGAGGTTGGGGGGTCAGGCATGGCCACAGTTTGTCGGCAAGTGGGGCAATCGTTTGCGGCATGCTCATCCGAACGTTACGAGTGGCAATGAGAACCATGACCCCCCATGTTAAATGATATATGCACTACGCAGGCTATAGCCCAAACTTGAAACTTCGAGGCTAGCGATTCGAGAAAACCCTAACACCGATGTACACCCCCAGGCCGCAATCCCAGAGGCACGCAACCCCCGAAAACCAAACAAAACTGACTTGAAGCGCAAAATTGGTATCCCAGATCTAAAGCGCCTGATTTTACGAAACCCCCGCCCCATGGTCCAAGGTCAACACCGGGAAGGAGGGCGAGTCTGTCTCCTCCTCTTGCCGCTCCACGGTGGAGAAATCGAATGACACCTACGAGATTGGTCGAGTTTTGGTGTTTTGGCTGTACGTTTTGGAAGCTTCGACCATGGTGGCTTGCAGCTGCGGGTTTTGCAGGTTCCTCAACCCCCCTGGACCCGGTGAGGCAGCGCACCATGCTAGGATCGATGGTCATCATCTCCTTCAGAATGCGCTCAGCCGTCTGCCTGGCACACGGATCACAACATCGGGGTTGGAGGTTTCGGGCTCGGGTTTTGAAGGTTTAGGAAAGCTTAACAAAGTTAACGCTGCCACCAACAGAAGCAGTAACAGTACTGGCTACTTACCAGCAGCAGGTCAGCAGTAGAAGCGAAACTAAGTCATTGCAACAAACGTGGCAAATAAACTGGCACTTGACTCCCAAGTCTGCAAACTTATCTAGGATCGACCACGAGCGATGCCTACGACTTTTTTTTGTTTATAACAATTCGGCTACTCACGCCTACGACGATTTCATGCAATGGGGGCTGTGACGGGCAAGTTCAAGAAGCCGACACCAGTGCGCCCGCCTTGCATTCTCATGCGGCTCCTGTGTGGGGTGCGGATGATCGTTTCGCAAGGCTTTGCAGGGCTTTTGGGCACGAGGTCTCCGTCACCCTGCAAGCTAAGCCGTCTCTCCATCCTGATGGCTTAACACCAAGCTCTAGAACTCGCAAGTTCAGGTGGTCGAAGACTTCACGGATGCTTTCTGCGTCATAGGGTGCGGGGTCATCGTCACAGAGTGGCCCCTGAGCCTGGCGGTAAACAGAAACACCCCAAAGTTCCGGGTCAGGTGTCCTTCTTCGTGCCCGGCAGGCGCAGCGTCTCGCGCTCGCGGCCATCGGGGAACTGCTCCTGAGCTCGGGTCGGACGCGGGTCGGAAGGTGCTAGCCGTGCTGTCGCAAAGTGAAAGGAACCGTCCCAGAATGCTCTCCTTGAACTCCACTAGCAGGCGCGAGCCGTCCGCAGGGCGAAGTTTCCTCGGCCGGCACACATTTTTGTTGAGGGCCTCTTTCGACTGTAGAGGCACGAAACTCAAAGAGAGACGAGCTCGAGGCTCGAGGGAGGAGAGAGAGGGAGAGAGAGTCTGAAAGAAGCAAAGAGATACCGACTCCACAAAGGACTCTCTAGAGGCTTTCAGGAATCTCAATGCGCTTGATCATGTAACATTCAGGGAATTCCTCCCAGTCACCACGACTTTCCCAACGTGCCCTCGGCCCGGAACCCCAGAGCCCGAAAGGTTGCCTGAAGCTGGGATAAAGAACAAAGTCATCATACAATGAATGCCATCACCGTGCACGAGACGATGATGACGCTGACGACCAAGGCAGCCAGGAGGACGAGCGGGGGGAGGATAAAATGAATAAGGAGCTGATTGTGAGGAGCGTGAGGCCCAGCCTGAGAATGAAAGTCACGATGACAAGGTGGTGATGATGATGATTACGATGATGACGATGATGGTGGCGACGAGGATGAGCATGATGATGAGCTTGGTAGAATTGCTGTCGACCTCTTGCCACCGTCCACGTCCGAATGCCAAGCCTGAGCTCAATGCAGGACGACGATATCCACGACGCGCACCTCGGGACAGGTCAGCAGGAGGCGGAAGGTGATAGGAATCCGGGACGATGGTTTCGTGTCTAGTCTAGGCAGAACGTTGTCACATTCAGGGGCGTCTGATGGCGTCTGCTTCTGAATTTGCATGGAAATTCTGGTAATCATTTATGCAACTTACCGTTTTGACGAGTCTTGTTGCGACCACCCTGAAGTCCTCCCACTTATACTTTCGAGTAGGACTCTAGGAGCCACTCGGGGTTTTGAAGATCTGACAGCTGCCAGCTCCACCCTCGCGCTGAGTACTTCGGGGAACTTGAATCTACTCGAGCGTATTACTTGTTCTTCTGCTGTAGGGGCGTAGGGCGTAGGGACTATAAGGGGACAGAATAGTGGGATCCTAAACCCGAGACGAAGGAATTCGTCGGACTCCTCGATACTCCTCTCGTCATGTCTCTTAGCCCCCTTGATGTCCACGGGCTGAAGCCCAATCCACGTAAGGGTCCCGAGAGTTGCTGAGGCGAGCGCGAGCTTCTTGTGCTGCTGCGCATCCAACATCAGCCTGTTCTGAACTTGCTTACATATGCATACATGCGTACGTACATACGTACATACTGACTGCACTGGCTACACACACACAGACACACGCCCGTCAATACACTTGCATCTAGAATCTAGTAGCCTCGAAGCGAAACCAGGCGATTAGCTGCGAAGGCCTGGAAGCTCCAGTTTCGACTTCCCGGGCCAGCTGATCGATTCCCTTTGCCTGGGGGCAGCAATGTCTCAAGACAGCTTGAAGAGCTCACCAAGCCCTAAACCCCCTTCCAAGTCTGGCACACCCCCGGGAGCCCTAATCCTCACGAAGCTAACGAAGCTTGAGAACCCAAGCTGGGGAGGTACCGAGTCCATCCGTGGTAAGAGCGGGTTTCTCTGTAGCGTTTGAAGTCTCAGGGTTTGGGATCCCGGGTCCAGGATTCGCGCCCAATTCGGCATTTCGGTGTCAGGGTTGCGGATGAAGGCTTGGATTTCGGGGACGGCTCGAGAAAGTGCAGGCTGTTGGTAACTGGTGAGGTGGCTGTGATCCTTGTGGGCAAGTGCAGTACTGTGTCATAGACGTAGCCCGATTTCACACTGCCGGGTGCTACGTAGCCTTGACCTTCAAGCCCGAAGAGCTCAGGAAGCCCCCATTCCCAACAGGCTGAGCCTTGAGACCCCCGAATCCTCTATGAAGGCAAAACAATGCGGCAAGTCCCTCCCACACACACTTCAGCCAACAGTCTTACATGGCCTTGCCGACGCCGAACTGGCTGACGTCGATGTTGTGCCTGGGCGACCAACAGTACGACTTGGAACGAATCGGAACATGATTTTCAGATGAGCGACGGATGCTTTTGCGGCGAGGGGCTTGAGAGAAAAGCATCTTGGCTCCTGACTCCACCAACGTCTTCCGGAACATCGCCAGGTCCATCGGATCGTCCTCCAAAAGCCGCAGAAGGGTGGAAGGGCTGAAAGCTTCGAAGAGGCCTCAATGCTTCCTTCGCCGTCCAAACATCCCAATCTCTTTCGGGGGTTGAAGGTCTTAAGGTCTACCGCGCCTTTTACGGATGTTCTTCGAGACACTGAAGTGGATGCAGGGCCTGAACTCTGCATCTACGGCTCCTGACACTGCCTCGAGAAGGATCGTCTGGGCAAACCCTTCAAAAAAAATCAAGAAATTGGATGATCAATACCCATAATCACGCATGAGAGTCCTAATGTCATTGGCTCGTCATCAATATGCGAAGAAGACACAACTATTTCTGCTATACTACTGTCGCATTAGGTAGCATTGCCATGATATTGCTATCAGATTGCTATGGCTATGATATTACCACAAGCCTATGGATATTTTGCTACAATTATAGCAAGAACAATTCTGCAAGCATCGAACATTGGTTCCTGGCCCTGCCCAGGCGCCTTGGGTGCTGGCTGAAGGTTCTCGAAGTCCAGGAGTTTCTCCTTCTTGACCTGCGGGGGCAGCGAGGGTCGTGCAGAACAAGAGATGAAGGTTGTCTCCGGTAGCGGATCACTCGCAGAGGCTGGCGGCAGCAGTGCGGGGGAAGAAGATTACATCAACGACAGGAGCAGCTTTCCCGCAAAACTTCTTTCAAGACCCTCAAGACCCTAACAAAGACATGTGCACACCGCAAACCCCATGTCTGCAGACCCGCCTTGAAACTTGGAGATCCTAACATCCCAAACACTGGCCCAACAGCACCTGATCCTCGCTCGTCCACTCGTAAGACGCTTTTCCGCCCTGTACCTGTGGGGTTTGCGATCGAAGAACTGAAATCCACAGAAGTTACTATAGTTGTTGCAAATGCTTCCTCTTGTAGAACCGTCACGGCCCTTGATGGCAGAATGCACAGCAAGCAATCTTGCCATAGCAGCGCAGCGAGTGCCACGTTGCTTGCAGAAGGAACTTCCGGAGAAACGTGCTCCGAAGACATCTAAAGGACCGGGGACTACCAAATCCTGAGCCACATACAGCTGATTGGGGGCTGTGCGCCGCGGTCCACACGCTCTAGCACAGGGTGGCCCACCCTTGTAGAAACCTTACAAAGTGCTTCAAGCCTAGGCCGTTCGGGAGTTTAAACCAGAGTCTTGCGTTTGCGAATTATGCTTCGTCCGTCGTCGCACAAAGCCGAGGAAGGAATGTGTGGGAGTTCGTAGAGCGGCCCGGCCTTTGCGCCCCAAACATCTCAAGTCTACGTCTACGTCGGCCAGCCAAGCTTCCCCAACCACCCAGCTCGCTCCAGGGCACGATCTTGTCCGCCACCACAAACTTCTTGTGCTTGTGGTTTTGGAGCTGCTTCCTCGGGCTAGAAAGGCGAAGGGTCGTATCTACAAGAGCAGCAACGATCAAAAGAGCATAAGAGTAATCGGACAAAGGGGGCCGATGTCGATCATACAACTCATGCACAGAGTTGCCATCTCGAGAAGTGTAAACGTGCGGGTTGATGCCACGATCCCCCAAAAGAACAGTCTTGGACCCCATGGGATGAGGTTTAGGGCCGTTTAGGGCTTGGGTTCAAGTTGGTGTGAAGGCCGCTTCTCGAAAGTATGACGTCGGCAATCTCAGCTTTCCAGAGTTCATCGCTGTGAATGATCAACAGGGGAAAGGAGCACAAGCTGCAAATATGTTTGGGCCACTCTCCAGCAAAGGAAACATCCCCGAGTTCTCCAAACCTCCCCTAAGAGGCCCGCTTCGTTGCGATGCCCTTGCGGCTGTCGGCTTCCCGGTTCATTCGCAGGATCAGCTCCTGCACGGTCGAACTGCGATGACTGGGAGGCTAGACAAAAAGTTATCATTTCGCTGCATAAAGACACACTCGACAAGCAGTAGCCCTCCCAATGGCGCCTGACGACGTTCCTTGATGCCGTCGTTCACGCCGGCCTGCCATCATGATCACAACCAGGAGTGCTGCAAACGTCTAGCCTGACAACAAGTATCATGGTGATGAAGACGGCTGTGACAGTGGTAGTTGTGATGATGACGATTTTGAAGAACAGTGATGACGAGGATGATGATGGTGATGATGGTTATGACGATGATGGTGATGATGGTGATGAAGATGAGGATGAGGATGAGGAAAACGCTGAGAATGAAGATGAGGACGAGGATGAGGGAGGAGCATGAACCGGCATGTTGACAGCACAGCCGCGAACCGAAACAAGGTAAGAGCAAACACAAAAACAGAACCCCGAGAGGAAGCCGGCACCTCTGCCATGCCATCTGCCTCCTTGTCGCCCTCCCTGAGCAGAGCAAGCGCTTTAGACTTCCGGGCTTCGTCATGTTCTCCTGCAGAGTTTAGGCATAATCTGGCTGGGTCCATATACGGACTAGTAAGGGATGCGAGTACTTACTCAGACCCCTACATTATGTTTATCTGTGGTGCAGGCAATTGCGTGCCTGCTTGCTCCTATAATCACTGTGAAATCTTCACACCCCGAGGAATCCACGCAAAGCTACCACAAGCCACCGTGACCAAGCGGATCCGAGTATATAGTAGCAGGTTCGAACATGCCCAACATGTTAAGATTATCATCAAATGCATTCTAGAAAAACACATGCAATGCCTCTAAATCCTGCCGCTCGGTGAATGTCGGTGACATTTTTCCGTCATGGCCGGCTGGTTCTGCGTTCGCTGATCAGTTGGCCTTTTGCTGGTGCCTTCCCCGCGGTCTCCAACCAAAACGGACGAAAGCAGGAGCACTTGTCACTTCTGTACATAAGTGTGTCCACTCACCTGGACAATGCAATAAATTACGCAACAGATAGCTGACGTCGCAGCACTGTTGTTAATGCAAGTTGCCAGTTGCAGATCTTCTCAATCCTCAGCAAACATGCTCGGACTCCTCTGATGATTCCGACTCAATCTTGCGGCCACTGGGGGAATACTTCTTAATCGGGCTGTGGTAACTCTCTCCGTGAGTGTGTTGGTCAACACCCCCAATCTCTTGGTCTTCTGGAATTCGAAGCTTGAACAGCATCTTCATGACTCCCACGATGATGGCAGTGCCCACAGCAGAGAAGGCCACACCAGCCAGCGCACCAGCAATCTGCTTGCCCAACAGCAGAAAGCTACCACTGTAGATGAGGCCTTCGTCAACTGCAAAGATGCCGGTCAAAATGGCACCGGCAAAGCCACCAGAGCCGTGCAAGCCGAAGGCGTCAAGAGTGTCATCCACCAAGTTGATCCTGTTCACCGCCTCGACAGTGAGGTAACACCAAGGAGCGCCCAAGGCGCCAATGACAATGCTCCAGCCAGGTGTCACAAAGCCGGCTGCGGGTGTGATGACCACCAGACCTGCAACGGCACCGACAGATGCGCCCACACTGGTTGACTTGCCCTTCAGGATACGCTCAATCGCCAGCCAGGTCAGCATGGAGGAAGCCGCAGCCACGAAAGTGGTGGCAACTGCGCGCGCTGCCACTCCGTCTGTGGTGGACAAAGCAGAGCCACCGTTGAATCCCAACCAGCCAAACCAAAGCAGGCAACCACCCAAGATCACGAAGGGGGCGTTGGCTGGGCCCAGGTCCTTCTCAACGTGCTTGCGTGGGCCGAGGATTGCACCGGCAACGAGGCCGGACACACCTGAGCTGATGTGGACCACGGTTCCACCTGCAAAGTCGAGAGCTCCCAGCTGACCAATCCAGCCGCCAGGTCCCCAAACCCAGTGGCACAAAGGTGCGTAGATCAGAAGGGACCAAAGGGCCAGCATGATGCAGTAAGCGCTGAAGCGCACACGCTCCACCAATGATCCGGAGATGATGGCACTGGCGATGATGGCGAACGTCATTTGGAACGAGGCGAAGGCAAGACCTGGAAGTGTGTCCCAGTTCTTCATGTCTAGACCCGTCCAAAAGCTGTAGTCGAAGTTGCCAATGAAAAGACCAATGCCAGTCTCGCCGTTGTCTCCAAAGGCCCATGAGAAGCCAAACACCACCCAAGTCAGTGTTACAATCCCCATGGAGACCACACTCATCATCATGGTGTTGATAATGTTGGTGTCGC